AGCACGTCGGTGGGGTGATGCTTGTGGTCCGACACGCGGGACAGGCCGGTATAAAACGCCATCATGATGAGGGTGAACTGGAGGAGGGGACGGAGCAGGCGGGCTCCCTTCCACGTGAATCTGGCCTGCAGATAAAACTGTGGGGAAGAAAAGGAAACAAAAAGGCTGCGTTAATTTGAGGGCAGCAAAGGAGAAGCTGTGGCCAAAATGTGCACGCGTGGTAGCACCAGCTTTGTGGGGCTGGCTGTGGGGTACCCACACTCTCATGGCTCAAGGAGTGGGGTGTTGTCAAAGAAGGATGCTCTTTGCAAACATGTGGCCTCCGAGGGATTATAACCCACGGAGGGGATGCGGGCAGAAGCGGATGGGTACAGCCCTCCCTTGGTAAGCCAGGGACCCCCTGCATCCCGGCTCACCTCCCAGCCCTGCTTCAGCCTCCAAGTCCATCAAAGTCACACACAACATCCGGGAAATTCCTCCCCACCACTATTCAGTGCGTAACAGAAGCAACGTCCTAAATTTGGGGCACGCAGGACCCGTAGCATCTCAGAAGAAAAGCAGGAATAAACACAGCATGCCACAACTCCAGAGCCAGCCCCAAGGATTTCCAGATACAGCCGCAGCTGACACGGATGCAAAACGCAATCCTCTGACATTGCCATCACGTTCCCCAGCCCGAGCGCGGGGGTTTGCAGGGGCACAGCGAGCAGCTGCCCCACCACACGGCATGGGAAGTCACTCCTACCCAGCATGGAATAGCAACCCATCCTGGTCCTGGCTTGACCTAAAAAGATAAGCTGACGTGACGTCAAATGGACATTGCTCCCTGCCTCCCCGTGACTATCTCAAGCCCGTTTCCATTTTGTCCGTCAGGCACGGCCAGTTCCTGTGGGAACCGGGAAGCCGGGCGGGAAGAGAGGACAGGAAAACGCCAACTCGCTGCCCACAGCTCAGCGGGGCAGGGTGCGGGAAGGGAGGGACGCCGCAGCAACCTTCGGGCTTGGGGACCAGAGAGGCAACCGATGGCTCGAAGGGTGCAAAAGTACCTGGAAAACACTGCTCGGCCCCGGCAGCTCGGCCCCGCTGCCCGTGGGCTCGGCCGCAGTGGGTATTTTCTGCCTGTACCTAAATGAAGCGCTGGAAGTCAGACACAGTGTGCTTCATGGGACTCTGCAACATCAGAGGGCTGGAAAGGGGTTTAATATCCATTTACGATCCCTTTTACGCACCCAGAGCAGTTTACACTGGCTTGATATAGAAGGGAATAAAGTTCTCACTGGGTTTCCTGAAACCACAAATAACTTAATGACACCATTTACCTATAAAAGCAGAATTAATTGGAAGGCTGATAAGGGGAAAACATCGTTTTGGCCAATTTAGTGTGTTTGGCTGTTGCATACACATTCTATTTACCCCTTTTTGGAAAGAACACACACTGGGCCCTTTAGAGGAAATGAAACATCATGTCATTTGAATGGAGCAGATGCTCCAAATTATCCAAATTGTTAGCCAATTAACATGGAAAGAAGCAGTACCAAAACAGCTCGGTACTGGTTAATGCACATTATGATTCCGGGGAATAGATCTACAACCCAGCCGGAGTCTGGGAACGGAGCCACGTCACCACGGCACACACCCCACGCCATGCAAACTCGTGCACGCGTTGCTCCGGGGCGAGTTACAGCTCTCTGGGTTCCCACAGCAAACCCTCGCTGGTGTAGCACAGCGAATGGACCACTGGGCTGTTTCTCTAGTTTGTGGTGATAATTCCTATGTTTGGGAGAAAGATGAGTCAACAATCAACGTATCAAAATTAGGAGGTATGTTCCGACCAGGAGGATCTAAAAAATAAGTAACAAAAAAAAAAAAAAGAGCATCGATGAGGAGATGCTTTCCCCCAGGTAAAATGCAGCTACCGCTGAGCTGGAAAGCTGGAGCTGTAAAATAGCACAAGCCCATCCTGCACAGTCACTTGCAGTGATTTAACAGCAGGCACCTCATCCTGCGAGCAAATATCTATGCGGTTCGTTAGCAGGGAACTGCACTTTTAGTTTGCAAGGCTTAGGCTGGTTGACTTGTCCTTGCCATGGTACTTGTGGACCCAGTTATCTGCCACAGAATAAACTGTGCAGGCAGGATACTCCTGGGTGAAGTATTCAGCGAAGGTGGTGATATGGAGAGCTGGGGAGATGGGGCGCGATATCTTTAAATACAGCTTCTCAGTGTAGAGACAACTTCCCTTGAAAAGACAGCATTTGTGGAGCGTAGGATTTTTAAAGCACACAAAAGATATGAAAACATGCTTCTGTTGCCATAGTTTAGGCTCAGGATTATTTTCATGTTCAAGAGTCTCAGCTCAGCCCAGGTGACAGTGGAAAACTTAGGTTCCAGTACATTGTTGCAGAGCAAAATTAGCTCCAAGTATTATATCTTATAAACTATTACTCTTGGTTCTACCAGGAAGACTGGAAACCTAATGTCCTACTTTAGTCTTGAGTCTCTGTCACATCAAACCCCTTAAGATTGAGATTTGCTGCTGGATAATCTGACATTTGTCACTTTTTCACAGCCTTGACATCCCCTCAAACCATTCCATCCCACAAGCTTGGACTAAATAGGTCATCTATAGGTGAGGAAGCAAAGTATCAATTAAAAATTAGGAATAAAAAGTTAACCCTGAGCTTGAACACACAATAAAGCAGACACTTTTGGGGGCTGAAGCAATTAAAAAAATAAACAAGTTTGTGTACTGACCCACTCCTTCCAAAGCACAGCTCTGAACTGTGCACCTAATCGACACACTTGAGCCCTGGAAAAGGTGTGCAAGGGCAGCGTGGCACCGTACGGGGTGTGCTGGGTGCCACCCAAGTCCCCAGCACCCAACTCACACCCACACCTGCGTATCCTGGAGGAGTAAAACCCACCTGAATAGATGCATCTCGGACACTGCACTACTGGCGTGAGGATCTCGACCGAGCTGCTTTTACTGACGCAATTAAATTCTTGGAAAAGTTGTTCATTAGTTCCCCATTCATAAGGAAAAAAAAAAAGGAAGAGAAAAAAAAAAAGAAAAAAAAAGGAAAAAAAAGAAGAAAAAGAAAAAAGAAAAAAAAGAAAAAAAAAGAGGGTAAGAGCACTTTTCATATCCCACAGGCATACTATGAGCATGCGGTACGTCAGATACTGTACAGGGTGCTCCAAACTTTGCCTCTGCCCTCAGTATGAAAGAAAAACTGAGTTAATATGAGAAGTGAAAGGGCAGCATAGAGGCTGAAAGGATCAGAATTTAGCTAAAACAGGAATTAGTGCCATAAGAAGTGGGAAGTTTCTTGCAGTTTATCTGAAAACCTGCTTTTGCAAGGATTTTTTTTGTAACCTGGGAGCAAACCTGAAGTGCTGCCTGCTAAGGACTGCCAGACTTGGATGGGAACGTGGGGCTGGATGGAGCCCTTCCTGGGAGGGGACGGAGGAGCAAGACCACAACCAGGGTTATTTCCACCACAGACCATCACAGGGCAGAAAAAAATCAGGAAAAGCATCAACAGAAACAAGTGTGGATGAAATGAGATCACATAGAGCAGCAGTTACTTGGAGCTCCCATCCACTGTCTCCTGGCAGAGGCCAAGTTACCACAAAGCAGATGGCTTGAAGGACATCATATCGCTGCTCTTCTGCCAGGGGACTTCCACAGTGGTGGTGGGGACAGCCCACAGCCACATGCAATCCCCAGGCAAACTCCTCAAGAAGGAGTTGGCAGGGAACACTGGCTAAAAGCATCACCTCCAGCCTTCCGGGGCTTTTCTGCCACCCAGAAATCCCATCCTGTTCACACTCTCCCCATTGCAAGGCTGAACTCCATCAACCACGTCCCTTAGTCACAGCTACAGTTTCCTTCTGGGAAATGGCTGGTTTTCTTTCTGTCTGACCTGAAGTTACCTCCACCTCCAGCCCCATCTGCAAACGGAGCGGTACCCAAAGCGATACGGGGCCAAAACACCTCAAACCCAATTCACCCCGGTGTAACGCACTGCCCTGGCTGGGCAAAGCCAGCTGGGGGAAGGGGAACAGCAGAATTCAGCTTTTAGCACCGAGATGGCCAGGGAACAAGGACAGGAGAAGGGCAGAGAGCTCCCAGCACCAAAGGGATGTGGTGTTTGCCTCTTCCCTGCCCGTGCTGGGTGTACAGCATCCCCCCCCCCCCCCATCGGGAATATCCCCATCAGTTCAGCAATGCAGTTCCCACCTCAGCCCTGGCCTTTGATGTAATTCCAGTTGACGCACTTAGGTCACCGCTAAACTTGACTCCAAGTCCATAACCACCACAGGGTTACCTTCACACAGGCACGTCATCGCTCAGCGGCACGAGGGTACCGGGACCTTCTCCGCCCCTCAGCAAGAAAGGCCAGTGCAAAGCCTCACCAGATACACGAAACCAGCAGCGTCTCCGATTTTTCATATAAACGAGTAGACCCCATTCTTATCCCAAGTCTTCAACCTCATCCACCAACGCACATTAAATACGCAAGCTGCCCTGTTTTACTCCCCTTTTATCCAGAATCAGCCAACATTGCTTTTCCGATATTTAGTTCTTCTGCACCGTCTGTGCGGTGCCAGGCAACTTCATGCCATGAAAAAAATAGTCAGCGTTAGGGTCTCACGTGCTCGAGGGGAGTGGAAAGCCCCCATCGCTCTCCGCAGAGACTCCTCACATCCAGCAAAACAAAACCGAGAGGTGTGGGTCAGGTCCAGGGGGTTGCGTGGAATAAGCTGTTACATACCTCCTCTTTCCTCAGCCTGCTATAAATACGTATTACGGGCTCACTCAGCCAAGGGGTAACAAAGCAAGGAAAATTAAGACAAAGAAGATTAGCCAAGCGTAATTTCCCCTTTTAAATTTTTTATACAAAGGCCTGATGTTAATTGGGTATTCTTGGTGACAAGAAGGCTGCAAGTCTCAGCGTTTAGAACTAAATCCCAGGAGATTTTACTGTATTGCAAGCGCCTTTTCCTTGGGACTTTTCCCCCGAAGCCCTCCAGGGCTTGGCATCTCTCTGCGTTTTCCTACGGGAGCCCATGGCCAAACTGCTTCTCCTTGATGGATACCGCAGGGTGCTGCTGCTGCGCAGGGTGATGGGGAACCACCAACACCCGGGCAAATCCTGCCCCACGGTGCAGGGAAATCCCGTGGGATGCGTGAGAATTTGAGTATCTTTTAATAGATCAACTAAAGCTTTCTGGCACCCGTCTCCATCAGGTGAGGCAAACTTGAAAACATTATAATTCAGAATGGGCTCTAAGAGTGAAGCCAGGGAATGCCAGGAAAGACGGGAAGTGACTTATCCTTGAAATATGAAGTATTGTTCGATAGGGAATGTAGACGCTGCGCTCGGGATGGGGCTGATTGGCCAAGCCTCTGCAGCTCTCGCTCAGCCCCACAAACATCCCCACTCCGCAAAGGTTCCCGGCAAACTCCCGGTATCCAAAGCACCGGCAGCAACCTGCTGCGGCACAGCCCTCCCTTCCCAGGAACTGGAGTACAACTGTTTTGTTGTGATTGAGATGATTCACTGATTAAAATCCATCAAAGCCACCTCCTGCAGGTGTTGGCATGGTAGGTGCCACATTTCTAACCACACTTCCAAACCCCACTCATTCACTGAGCTGGGCAAGACACAGGGGTTTATTTTGCATTAAATAAAATCCCTCTGGATTACTATAACTTTTTTTAAAAAATTATTTTGGTGTATTATCAGCCTCTCCAACATGACAGATTTTCTGTCTCCCTTTTCCTATGAGATTTCTCATTCAGGCTCTGGCAGCGGCCAGGGAGCTGGAGTGATGGAGAGCAGGGTGCTGCAGGACAAGTTAGAATCACAGAATCATTTAAGTTGGAAAAGACCCTTAAGATCACCATTTCCTCACCTCCAACATGCACCGCGTCACATTGTCTTGTCTCAAGTTGCCTTTTTCTCCCTTCAATTTATGAGCAAACACTTGGTGTAATTTTTCCCCTCCCTTTTTAAGGCACAAGGCAACCAAGCAGCTGGTCAGATGGAGTCTGCTGCCAACCTTATCCCAGTTTTGGGACAAAAATAAAAACATTAAGGGATTGTGGGTGAAAAACCCTCCATGGAGAGGGCTGAGGGGAGCAGCCTGTTGTCCCGGATCAGGCAGGGAGAAGGGCAGAGGGTGCCGATAGCCCGAGTGCTCCCGTGTGGGGACGGGGAAGGGCAGCAAAGAGAGAGCAGGGGTAGCTTTCTGCTCCGAGGCATTACGCAGGCACTAAATGCCACTTTTGAAGCCTGCTGCAAAGTCAAAAAGTAAATCAGCCACCAGGCATCGGTGCAAAGCTGCGCTAGTAAACGAGCCACGCAGGTTTTCCATGCATCCCATGGGAATGCTGCATGCAGGCTGCGGGTTTGGGGTCTCCAGTGCACCCCCTGCCACCAGCCCCGCAGGCACCGGCATTCCCCATTATTTCTCGCCTGCTCTGTAACTGCTGGATTTTCAGAAAAACATGGAAAAAACCTGGCAAAGCAACATGGTCTGCATGGCGCCCTGTGGAAACAGGGTCAAGCCCTGATGACTTTGGGCAGCCATTGCTGAAGTCAGTGGGGTGGAAACGCAGGGAGGGGGTGAGCGCTTGCCCGGCGAGGCACAGCCCCCCGGGTTTGTCCCCTACCCTGAAGGATGCTGCAGGAAAGAGTAAAGCATCGGGCTTGGCTTCCAAAAAGGCCTGGGAGTAGCATCTGCTACGAAAATACCTGGAAGGATGACCCAAACCCTGCTGAGTATTTGGAGAGAAACCATCACCCATTTAACAGGGACTGGGCAGTGCTCGCTGTTTCCGGATGCCAGGCTCGAAAGCATCTCAGGGCTGACTTATCTGACTGCCCACAGATCTCCTCGGAAATAAATAAATGCCTGTGCAAGTGATGGTTTCCAAACACAGCTTGGAAAGTTTTGCAAAGGCAGCAGTTGAAGGCTGAGCCTCCTGCGAAGCATCACCGGGGCAGCTCTGCATTGTAACACGGCTGGGAGGAAATGGCCAAAATGGTTACTGAAGAAATTCAAAAGTTTTCCAAGAACATAAAAAAAAAACCCAACCCCAAAACAACAAAAGAGTGGGGGGGAGAGGGGGGAATGAGGAAAGAATTTAATATGCCACCCCCACACCAGTCTGGAAATCTTAGTAATTAAATCACAGAAATTGCTCACAGGGAGGGGGAACGCAGGGCTGAAAAGGCAGGAGGGAGAAGTGACAACTTATCTTTTCAGAGGGTAAAGGGGGGAGCACTGCTCACAGATAAAAGTTCACATTTAATGTTTTTAACAGTGCCGTGCTGTTTCTTTGCTTGCTAATCTGGGGGACACAAATCCTTTAAGGAATCTGAAACCTTTTTCCTAATTTTTACAATAATAATAAATATTAATAATAATCTTAAAAAACCCAAACACACACAAATCACTACCCGGATCCTCCCGAAAAGCTGCGTGCGGGTCCAGCCCCTGGGAGGGCACAGGCAGCGTGGCT